ATTCATGTTTTTTGGTCTGTGAAGGTCAGTAGAGTTACAATGAGTTTAAAGAAAGCCCATTATATTAAGAACTAAAATCCACAGCAATAATGACCACCGTGCTGGTTTTGGCTGCGACAGAGTTAATTTTCTTCACAGTAGCTGGTACGGGGCTACGGTTTGGATTTGTGCTGGAAACAGTGTTGATAAGACAGGGATGTTTTTGTTACTGCTGAGCAGTGCTGACACAGAGTCAAGGCCTTTTCTGCCTCTCACCCCACCCCACCAGCGAGGAGGCTGGGGGTGCACAAGAAGCGGGGAGGGGGCACAGCCGGGACAGCTGACCCCAACTGACCACAGGGATATCCCACACCATATGGCGTCGTGCTCAGCATATAAAGCTGGGGGAACGTTGGGAGTGATGGCGTTTGTCTTCCCAAGTCACTGTTACGCGTGATGGAGCCCTGCTTTCCGGGAGATGGCTGAACACCTGCCTGCCCATGGGAAGCAGTGAATGAATTCCTGGTTTTGCTTTGCTTGCCTGCGCGGCTTTTGCTTTACCTGTTAAAACTGTCTTTATCTCAACCTACGAGTTTTCTCACTTTACCCTTCTGATTCTCTCCCCATCCCACCAGGGGGGGAGTGAGTGAGTGGCTGGGTGGTGCTTTGTTGCCGGCTGGAGTGAAACCACGACAACTGAACATGAGCTTTAGCTCAGAGATGACGCAGGCATTGCATAGAGGGTATACAGGGACAGAGATTCTGCTTGGGTAATGAGCTTCAGGAGTTTATACCAGCTGAGGTTCTATTCCAAATGCTTAAAGGAAGCTGTTTCAATCACTAAAACCAATTATTAGGGTTGTGTCCTTTGCAGCATTTTTAGTAGGTTACAGTTTCTTCTGCCAAGCTAGGAAGCTATGCTATGAGCAGCTGGTACTCCCAGGACCTAACAACTCCACCACAATTTTATCCTCTAATACTCGAGCCTCCGATGCCTACATTTGCAATACAGAACCACAGAGGGTAAGTATCACAAGTTCCTTCCCCGTGCCTACGGAGACTTACCCACTAGCTTCACAAAATGACCTTTGTTACAATGGGATTTACACTTGTGTCCTTGGAAGCAGCAGATGGTCAGGATGAGCTGCTGCCATCAGCATTTTTCCTTTAGTCTGTGAAATTATTCACATAGTCCCCTCAACAGTGGAGGCGTTTTCTCAGCTTAAGAGCCAAAGCACACTAGTTAAAAGATGGGACAAAACAACAAGTCAAGTAGTAGTGTCTTTAAGACACTAAAATGGGCTGGATTTTGTGGTTATATAAGAGCAAGAAACCACTATCTCAATCTGATGTATGAATTAAATGCTGTACCTTATCAACAGGAAATATGAACACATTTCCTTCAATTATTTCCTCTTGCAGATCATTCCCTGTAGGTCTCAAAGGAAACAACAGATACACCCAAAACAAATTCTAGTTTCTTTGCTGGCCTGTTCAAAGAAAATGCAAAGCTCTGTTTTGTTTTGTTTTTGTAAACACATCACTATTCAGACAAAATTACTTGCTCAGAGAATTTGAAGTACTTTACAAACAGGCTGTTATCTTTATCTCTACCTGTAAAAAGGGGAAATGAGAAGAAAAGCAAGGGCAGCTTCAGAGTTGTACCCAGGTCTCCTTCTGAGTCACCATATCATGCCACACTACTAAGCCTCCCCCACGATATCAACCCAGCAAGCATATTAACCTGCAGTAGAGCCTTCTGTCCTTTGAATGGTATCTTATATTGTAGGTATAGAAGGGGGAAATCTTGTTAGAGATGTATGTGCATTTAACTGAGAAATCTTTGACACTTCTGATAAATTTTCCAACTGATTTATGTACTGCCAATGTGTTTCTCGTATGTGTAAAATATTTATGATCTTGGTCCTGCAATTTCCCTACAATAATTTCAGCAGGCTGAAGGGTTGACACTCTTGGCTTGAATTGTTGGCTCATGTGTTACCTTATGTTGTTTTTAATTGCAACGTATTCTTGCCTAGAATGGCACACTTGTGTCAACACAAAACAGGCTCAGTGCAAGATTCACAATGGAATTTGAAACACACTGTAGTGCAGAAACATTGGAATCCGTGAGCTTGGTTTCAAATCCTTCCAGGGAGACGCTTTCTGAGAAGCCTGCATCTGGTTTTCTAATCCCACAGAAGTTTAAGAGTATTCAGATCAAGTTTTACATTAAGCCCCTCCCCTAACAAGCAGGGCCAAGGTGAATGAAGTTACATTTGCCAACGTATCTCTAGAGAGTGCAATGCATCTCTGCTGTAAAATCCTCGTGCCATATTTTCCAAAGCCGGTGGAGGTGGTGTCAGTTTTAACCTAAAAGGGAAACTGAAAACAAATCTTTTAAGTTTACAATAATTTAAAATACAAACAGCTCGGCAAGGCAGCCATTCAAGACAGTTTCTCCTCAAATAACATGACAGCCCAGATAGCCACAGCTGATTGCAATTAAAGGTACAGGATGAAAAAACAAACTTGATTTATAGAGTGCATAGAAAATGACTTGAAGACTTTGGGACTGATGGAATTTTGGAATCATACAGGAAGAAAACCAACCTAATCAATGTTGTAAAGACTTTTTGGTTATCCTTTTAAAACCATTCTAAAGGCGGCGGGTTTGCTTCCACAGAATTCTGTTAGTTTCGTCTTTATTAAATATGATGGGACAACTCCCACAAGCATAGTAAAAAAAAAAAAAAAAAAAGCCTGAAGCCAAGTGATGTTCTTTTCTCAGCCATGGGAGAAATTTTTCAGTCCAGTAAGTATAACTTCAGAGTGAAATAAAAAAAATGAGAAACTAATCAGGGCCATGAAATCAGTCTCAGCGGGGAACAACAGGGCTATGCAGAACACAGATCTAAATTGCTATCAACGTCAGAAATCCAGCCCGGGGATCTGACACTTGCTGATGAAACTTAGTGCCAGATGAAAAAACGCTGAGCAGGGTAGACAATTTTTTGCTGCCCTCTGCAGGGTAGTGTTGAGCATTGCCATCTACAGCTGAAGCCTGGGAAGTGATAAACAGGCTCACAAAACAATCTGTGCTTTTTCAGAACTTTTACAATTTACTGTTGCATTGTTATTTCAACAGTAATCTGTACTCAATTTGTATTTATTAATATTGCATTTATAAATGCAAATCAACAATTTTACTCCAGTAGATGAGCCAGTTATAGTTATGCTCACAGTTTCATTCTTGTTTTCTCAGTTAGAGAAAGAAGCCACTATATATCCAAACTTGATAAGCTGGGCATAATCAATTCTCACTTCTATTCCACAGAGTCAAGTGCATGTTCTAACTAATGCAGAACTCAAAGAGCTGCACTCTCTCCGATACACAGCAGTCCACAGAACAAAAAACCACCCCCAATGCCTTAGCACAGCTAGGGCTTTCTTGCCGTGCAGGAAAAGAACAGTCTGTTAGACTGTGCTTTCTGCTGTATGCATGTGTTCTGGAGGCATGCCAACGTAAGTTTTGATGGAAATACTAATCCCTAGATCAGTCCATCATATAGGAATAAAAGAACAGGCCCTCTTTCTTGCAACCTCAACGCCAAGCTTCCACCCTTTACTTTGATTGCTTGCTAGGTACTAAGATGTAACCAGGAACTGCAAGGTACCAGAAGAAAAGACTCTCCCAAGCTCTTGTCCTCCTCTGCTTTCAAGGAAAAGATTAAGCAAATATCACTGTGTCATTCACTTCCTCCTTCCAAACTAAGACGTAAATTATTTCAGTCTCACATACATTGGATGATTTTTAAAAAAAAAAAGTCTCCCAGTGGTAAATGTTAACTCCTTGCCTGACAATAAAAAAACATGGGTACTGTGCTCCAGTATCAGTCAGTGTCAAAACACAAAGCCGTCAAGAAGTTATTGAGAGATAAGTGATTAATGAAATATGAGCATTAGTTAAAGATTATTGTTACTCAAGTGATCAGCCATTCAATCCACTTATATACTTCATTTGAGAACTTGCCTTTGCTTTGGAGTTAAAGGAAACAAAGGATCTGGTTCTAGTTCCAGCTATTCTCTTAGAGACTTTATGGAGGTATTTTGTGTTCCTATCTCCTCATTTGCCACAACACAAACAACAACAAAAACAGATATATCAGCAGTATCAGGAACCTTAATCCACTACTGTTTGCAGGACACAGAGATTATATGCTGCAAGACACTATATAAGCATAACTATTTTCTTTGTCATTACACGTCTGATGTTGCATGAGAATGTTATAAAGACAACTGTGAGGCTGGAAGATAATATACTCATATACAATGAGGTCTGATGCGGAGAAACCTTTGCTGGGAGGCAGTCTTAAGCACCCAGCATTCCTATTGGATGCAGCAGGCCCTACTGTATGTCCACATGTGTATTTGCAAAATGGGTATCACGTATTTGTAATTCCTTTATACTGAGATACATAAAAATAAAACCAAAACAGCTCGTTCTGAATTTGTCATGGCTAATTTTGTTAAACACCAGTATTAGATACGGAATCACAAACTGCAACATAGAAATACAACAGAGAAGCTGGAAGGAGGAAGAGTTTTTAAAGCTATCTGAACCAATTTGACAGCATCAAATGAAAGAACACTGCAAGTTACATAGACACACAGGGATCAGCATATCAAAACTGGCAAAGCTTGGCAAACAAGCTGAACTTTAGAAATTGAATACTTCCTCTCAAGCAATTCATTAGCAACAACATAGATCTATATAATACAAACAAAAAGTCCAGAAATGCATTGACTCCTTACAGCTAGCACCTGCACTCTTTTCCAGAGGTCAAGTGTGGTCAGTTTACAAACAGCTCAGAAGCAGTCTAAGCAAAACTTCGGAGATGGTGTAGCATTTCTGGCCTTATGCAGAACTCTGCAAGCAAGCCAAAGGACTTGACATGACTCAATCGGTGAAGAACATAATTCAACTCAGAAGCCAAACTTAGTTCTGACCAGGGTCAACCTCATTCATCAGCATCATCAAACTGGCCAGCCTCAGTCATTCTAACTGGTGGTGTAAAAGCAAGGCAAGCTGCATGGTGACAGCCTGGGTTGTAAAACGAATCCTCTCGCCATGAGTATGAGGCCAAAAGATTATTTTCCTGAAAGCTTCCACAGTGGAGATCACCAGCATCTAAAGAAGATCAAAGAAAACATTTAAACCATGGGAGATACTTAGAAAACTAGCAGTATAGTGTAGCAGATTATTTTGCAGGTCTACAGCATCTTGCAGTTAAGTATTTCAAATTGATCTGCCAGCACTCATGAATTAGACCTACAAACAGAGCAAACAGAAAGCTGAATTTGGCAACATCTTCATTTTAAGGAAGGCCCTTGCCACAGAGGCAAAACAGTTTTCCAAAAAACTCAATGATATACCTGGATTCAGAATATCCAACACAAGCTCTTGCAATCCATGCAGTTGTTCTATGTCTTCTCCAGGCATAAAAGGGTCATGAAACCATAACTTTTATTTCTCCTGCCCCTTCCTACTGTCTCCATAACCACATCCCCATCAGGAGCACTCCAAACCCTTTAAGAACTGGGTCATTAGACAGAATTGAAGGGTGGGGTCCTGTAAAAACAAGCTCTGAACAACATTTCCACTAGGCTAGAATTAAGCCTAATAAGCCTGTTATTTAACCAACCTAGCACAAAAATAGGGCAAAGTCCTTTAACAGAAGCAAAGGATTTCTAGCCAGCAGACACTGAAAGGACTGAGCAAATCAAAAGCCCAGAGTATGGGGCAGCAGAGGACCCAGCAGAGTACATCCACGTGTCAGCCTTCCAATAGTACTGCCAAACAAGCCATCAAAGCAAGCATTTTTAAAAAGTTTTTAAAAAGCCATAAAATGACCTACCAAGCACGTTAACAACTCAGACACTTGTACTCAGTATCCTTCACAAGCACCTCAATCCCATAATCACAGCTTCCTTAGTTTGTGAGGATTTGAAGAGCATAAGCTACAGGTAGGGATGAGTTAGTTAAATAAAAGAAAAGAAGAGAACTTGTGACAGTTCCAGTAAAAAAAAAAAAAAAAAGAAAAAGAAAAAAAATTCAACACATTCCATAAATTTGAACAGATGAGAGATTTAAAGGAAAGCCCAGGTTGGAAGAGAGGGAAACATCCGAAAAGGAAACAGTCTTTTTCTCAGATTACCCGATGTGAAAAACCACTACTGTATTTCCATTTTAAAATTAGAATGATTTTATAGGAAGGCTGCAAAAACTTTCCTACTTCCTTCTGTTATCAAACAATGGAACTTGAATACAACAGCCATTTATGGAATTAAAATAAACAGAGAATTGATATTTCCTAAGCAAAGAAAGGAGTGTTTGCATTAATTACAAAAGATATACGTTAGTGAGAAGAAAATGGAAATGGTACTATTCTGTGTCAACAAAGACACAGCAGGTCACTGCTGCTGGCTAAACTCCATCCACTTGTTCTATCCTAACATACAGCCTGGCAAATGGAAGATTGAGACTCTCAGTTCAACACGTGAGTCACTGTAAAACAGTTTACAAACTGGAAGATTAATATGACTCTAAAGACGCAGATGAAACTGCTTCTATCCAGTGCCACCTTTGTCCATGGGACTGGTCACATGCACAACCACTTAAGAGGATCAAGATTCAAAAAAAACAAACAAGCAAAAAAACGTACCACACACACACAAAAAAAAGAAACACAACCTACAGCAAAAGCAACAACAAACCACACTCAGAGACTAAGCGCTTGTAGTGCTCCCCTCCAAAGAACTCCATGCTCTAGATGGACGTTACAGTGTACAGTCTGGATGAATTTTCTTGGAGGAAAGGAAGAACTCCTTTTACACAAAAAAGTTACATTCCTGCACTCCATGTACCTTTCTCTTCTGCTTCAGAATAACAAAGATACCCTACTGAGACCTAGCTTCTCCAGAGAAACTTGATACACACGTAAAATTCTTCTCCTTACCATTCCACTTCCTAAGAATTTAATCGCTCAAGCAAGTTTCATGTGAACTTCACAACACTGCCTTTAAATCCTGTATTTGACAACAAAACTATGCACACACAACCCATGAGGTCAACAACAACAACAACAAAAATTGCTTCCCAAAATAGAACATGGAGTTATTTAAACATTCTCCTGCAAAGCACCTACCTCCAATCACATACTATCCTAAACTCAAATGAAGCACAAGTAAATTTGTACTCACCATAAGGATTACATTCAGAGTCCTCCAATTCTTTATCCCAGTCCTCCACCTCGTACACAGAAGCAGTTTGCAGCTCTGGAAAAGTTACAGCCTCAGGCATACTGGAGACTTCACCACCCAAGTCTTCCAGGTCAGGACGTAGATGAACACAGTCAACAGGAGAGCCACTGACATCATTTTCATTGTGAGAGACATCAGAGAATTCACTTTCTTCAGACTCACTATCAAGAACATTGGGAATATTCTTCAGCAAACATTCTAAAACCAATAGAAAGAGCCAACAGAGATACTTAGGAATTAAACAGGAACAATTAAACGCTTAGCATGCAGTAATTCAGACAGGTATACGAATGCACTTTGTGACTACTAATCTAATGATAATACACGCAGTTTCTTACGTATGTAATATCACTACAGTGCTGCTTCAGGTTTCAGATGCTTGGGAACATTGGACATAGGCTTGCATCACAACACTAGCCCAAGTCAGGATTTTCCACAGACTCTTGTTGGAAAATAACTCTTTAAACTAGGGCAGTCTTGTTTCACCATATTCACCTGTTGGTATTTTAAAAAAATAGGTATGTTGAAAAACCACAGCTCTGGTTTAAAAAAAAAAAAAAAGACTTTTGTAGTATTGATTAATTACTCTTGCACCTAGACATACACAAAAATCTACAAGGAAATAATTTAACGCAGTAACTGAAGAGGCATTTCCCATGCATCACCAAAAAGTTTTAAGTATATTTCCTCAAGCAGAGTGTAAGTTTCATTACTTGCTGTCTCCTTTGTTTTGTCCGAATATTTCAGGCTTACCTTTTCTGGGCTTCCAGGTCATAGTTTCTCTCGTATTAGGAAGCTGTTCCTCCTCAAAGTTTGCAGACTCAATGGCAGCAGCCATCACCTACAAGACAGTTTTAAAGAATCCAGTAGCACCTTTCATTGATTCCTCCAATGAGGCTCATGCAACTTCTACTGCATTTGAGTGTTTCTAAGCCCTTGAGCCTGACCTATTTTTTTGTTCCCTTGATGAATCAGAGGTTTTAAACCAGACAGGCTTTCACTTCAGAAAGCAAATCTGCCAAGGGATGGCTCATCCTGCTGCTGCCATCAGTCACCCCAGGCGGCAGCCAACATAGAACAGCCAGTCTCCTCACTCACGGCCGTAATCCTGCTGCCACCGTTTTGGGAACGGGTCCCAAAACTGACCCAAAATGCATCTATTCGGGAACAGCAGCAGACTGTGAAAGCTCAGAGGTAATGAAGGCACAAGGAGCAGAAGGAGTACAAGCACCAAAGACTATGTCGGCTTTGTGAGAGCCGACATGCCAAGGAGACAGGAGAGGGCCAGACCCTCCAGCAGCCCTGAGGAGCTGGAGAAAGATGGCGGATGCACACCTGGAGAGCAGAAGGCAACACCTCAACCGGTTTGATGGTCCCCCAGAGGGAGAGGAAAGGAGAGTTATCCCCACCACTTCCACTACAACAAAGACGAATTCGCTGAAGGACAGCCCCTGCCCAGGGCGGTGGGTGCGGGAAGCCAGGCTCCCAGGTGCTCGCAGAGCCGAGCCCGGCACGCCCGAGGCCGGGCCTGCCGCCGGGAAGGGGTCGCGGCCGGCGAACAAGGGCAGAGCGCCGCGTACTTCGG